CTATTTTTCTTTACAGAAAACAAATAGAAACTACTGATTACTTGATCTAGTTATCATAAATTGACGTAGATTTCCCAGAAGAAAGAGACCTTTAGATAATAGGATTTTCAGTGGTACTAATGAATACAGTTTTAGGAGAGCCAGAAGATTTAAATAATTAAGAAGAGCTTTCTCTTCTGCTTGGAAATTTCACTTCCAGTCATTGACACGTCAGCAATGGTAAATGTGCTGGAGAAATACTACTGAGTTGTTTGCATGATGTGGTGTCCTTTATTTATTTTGTTAACTTAAAATTGTCAAATTAATAAAATAAATATTCATGGACCCACACAATACTTCCCAAGATTCTTGCCTTTATTAGTTATATTCCATTTTTACTTGATAACATTCAAGAAATTTATTTAGAAATTTATTAAGAGCTTGCTAAGTCTCAGGCTCTTTTCAGAATCCTTTTATACAACATATTATATATTAAATTTGGTTGGTTCTATACATGTTTAAGCTGGGACACATTCCCGAATGCTTTTGGCATATCAGTGCTCAATAAATATTTGCTGAAGAGAATGCAAACTTATTTTTTTATATTATGATCATTACACAAAAAGTTTAAAGAAAAAACATTATAAATTTAAAAAGCATACCACTAGCTCATCTTCAAGTACCCCTTTCATGTGGACAAAAATAATTTGGTTTCAGTAAGCCTCAAAACCTTTATATTATTTTAACAATTACATTCAAAAGCTGCCACATAGAGTATCATAAATTTGTCAGAAAAGTTACTAAGATATATCAAATGTTCATGATTTATGCAGTAATATCACAAAGTAAATGTTACTGAGTAATATAGCACTAAGCACAGTACATGGCACACAATAGTTTTTTTTTAAACAGCTTTATTTAGATATAATTCACATGGCAGAAAAGTCACTTTTAAAATGATCAATTTAGTGGTTTTTAATATATTCAGAGTTGTACAACCATCACCATAATTTAATTTTAAACTTTTTTTCCACCTCAAAAACAAGTTCATTTCCATTGGTAGTCACTCCACATTTCTCCTCTTGAGCCTTTGGCAATCACTAATCTATTTTCTATGTCTATGAACTTGCTTATTTTGAACATTTTATATAAGTGGAAATACACAATAGGTGGCCTCTCAGGTCTGCTTTTTTTTTTTCACTTAGAATAGTTTGCAAGGTTCACCCATGTAGAATGGGGTCTGTACCTCATTCTTTTAATGGCTGAATAATATTTCACTGTGTAGATATACCGCATTTTGTTTATCTATGCATCAGTTGAAGGGTAGCTGGTTTGTTTCCACTTTTTGGCTGTCATGAATAATGCTTCTATGAGCACTGATGTACAAGTTTTTGTGTGGACATGTTTTAATATCTGTTGGCTATATATGTACCAGTGGAATTGCTAGATCAAATAGTAACTCTCCATGCAATCTTTTGAGAAACTGCCAAATAGTTTTCCAACGTGTATGCACCATTTTAGAATCCCACAGCAATGTCCAAGGCTTTTAGTTCCTCTACATTTTCATCAGCACTTGCTATATGTACTCTTTTTCTTTATAGCCATCCTATGGGGTGTGAGTTGTATCTCACTGTGGGTTTTGATTTGCATTTCCGTAATGACTAATGATGCTGAGTATCTTTTCATATGCTTATTAACTATTCATATATCTTCTCTGGAGAAATGCCAATGCAAATTATTTGCCCATTTTGTAAATTGGGTTATCTTTTTATTGTTTAATTCTAGGATTGCTTTATACATTTTTTATATATTTCAAAGACCCTTATCAGATATATAATTTTAAAATATAGTCTCTCATTCTTTAGTTTGTCTTTTCCCTTTATGGTATCATTTGAAGCACAAAGTTTTAGTTCTAATGAAGTCCAATGTATGTATTATTTTTTCTTTTGTCATTTGTGCTTTTGGTGTCACATCTAAGAAATCACTGTCTGATCTATGGGCACTGAGATTTCTGCCTCTAATTTCCTCTAAGGATTTGAGTTTTAGCTCTCACATTTGATCCATTTTGAGTTAGTTTTTGTATATATTGTGAAGTATGGGTCTTCTTTATTCTTTTGTATGCAGATGTCTAGCTTCCCCAGCACCCTTTGTTAAAAAGGCGTTTCTTTCCCCCACTGAAATATCTTGGGACCCTATCAAAGTCAATTGACTATCAACATATGGGTTAATTCGTGGACTGTCAATACTATTCCATTGATCTCTATGTTCATCTATATGCCAGTGTCACATGGTCTTGATGACTGTAGCTTTGGGTAATTTTTGAAATTGGGAAGTATGAGTCCTTCACACTTCTTTTTCAGGATTGTTTTTCATATTAGGGTTATACATAAATGAATATTTAATGATTGAATAAATAGATAAATGTTTGTATTTTTTTAAGTTTTATTTTTGGGGGGGAAGGTTGGAAATGTTAGCATATTTAAAGAGATGGTAACCAAGAGATAGTGGTATTTAGGTAAATGTACCTTCAGAAAACGTACCAGGATTGGTTTTATTTTATAAAGAGTTAATAATTGGGGAATTTATTGATTTCCTAGTTTATCAATAACTCTGAAACTTTGGTTTAGAACCCTATTTTTCCTAAACTTCTGCCAATTTTCTGCACATGACCAAAATATGCTAGACAGATGATTTTCCAGAATGGAATCATTAGTAATTCTTTTCAGATGGAGTATGAAAGAACTCTGATTTGCTTCTTTCACTTTTTTTAGTCCAGTGTCTTTGCTGTCACTTGTAAAGCCTTGCCTTCTATTAGATGCCGAGGGCAGAAAACGACTCCCATTTCCAAGGCTGGTGACATACCGCTTTGCATTTCCTGAAATATCATTTCCTCCAGGAAGACTTTCCAGTTTGAGATAAAGAGTGGACACTGATTCTCATAGCGAATATGTAGTCTTGCATAGTCCATCACTCCTCTATAATTTACAATGGAAAAAAAAGGTTTTAATGTATGTTAAAGTTTTGAACCTTCACATCTTTGTTTATGAAAGGTTTTCTTAGGCTCCATCAAGTTAGAAATGCAAATCAGACACAAAGTTAAGCAGTATAGAGCTTTATTGGGGTTTGCAGGCCAGGGCGAGGTTCCCGGGCCCACACAGTGAGGCCGGGGAAAGTCGTGCCCAAGCAAGGAATGTGGCAGGGTTTTATTTTGGTTGGCTCTCTTCGTGGGACCTGGGGCTTGGCTCCCTTTGAACGGAAGAGGCAATATATCATTGGTGGTTCTCTTTGGCTCAGGTTGCTATGAGGATAAAGCCCGCCCTTCTGGCTCTCTGGTTTGACATCAGGCGTCTTTTCTGGGTTGTAGTTCAGCTGTGGTTTTACCCTACCCCACACATCCTAACAGTTTATATCTGTCTGCTCCTTGTTTGGTACATTAGACCTAGCTAGTCTCTGTGTATCTAATATTAATTTTTTTCCTGTGTTGATTCTAACCTGTTAAAACACACTTTTGCTTTAGGTTTTAAATTTTGATAGTTTCCTTATCTTCCTCCAGGCTCTTGTAATCTAGGTCTACTAGGTACACAATGGGTACTCAGTAAGTATTATGTGAGGATTTTTTAAATTGTTAATTGTCTTTAGAACTCCAGGTACAGAAAGGCTAAAGGTAGAGTTTGGTGTAAGTGCTTAATTACAGAGCAACATAGGGGCCAAAAAGCAGGCATAAAATCTATAGTAATTTTCCTTATCTAGTTACCCAAGAGGGCTACAAGCTAGCAATATGGTAGTCACCAGAAGTTGGAAAGATGGATAGACCGGTGTTTTATCTGTGCAATCCTGCCAGTCATGCCTCCACGGCAAATTAAAAGCCCTGGTTAGGACCAGGTAACTAAAATTTATAATTCTGGCTTCTGTACTACTGTTGGAGGAACCATGGGAACTAATTTTCCTTTAATTAATTCATTCGATAAATACTACTTAGCTCCAACTATGTGTCAAGCACTGTGCTAGAGGATGTTAACTATAATAGGGAACAAGACAAAGTCCTTATATTCGTGGAATTTACATGCAGAAGGGTGAAGAAAGGTGTATTTTATAATCTACAGCCATTTCCCCATCTCTAAATAGGTGTGATAGCTTCTAGGTTCAATTTGAACTTTAGGGCCTGAATTCAGCGTTGGCTCACAGCTGAGAATATAGCAAAAGCTGGTCGCTAGTATGTAAGTCAGTACAGGGTTGAACACATGAATAGCCTGGCTTTCCTCTACAAAAAAGTACAATTAATATATTGGGTAGAACTGTTTTCAATTTTTTTTACACGGCCTTGGAATGCAGTACGATCCCCTGACCCCCTCTTACATTGCCAATGACATGGTTACAGCCACACATTTTCCAAAGATCATAGGTCGTTGGACATTTGGTATTTCTAAATGCTGTTTGATAGGCTTCCTGTCTCCCAAATCATGTATTTGCTAGTTGACACGGATTAGGAATGCAAAAAAGTTTCGGTTTAGCATGGCGCTGGTGATGGGGAAGATTGGTGGAGTCAGACTTTAATTAACATTTTGATCCAAGGAACTGAACATCCAAAGACTAACAAATCATGCAGATTTTAAGACAGCACTCTATCTTCTACACGCGGGGCCGGAAGCTTCCTTCCAAATGCTAGCTTTCAAAGGGTTCTAGCTGACCCCAAGCAGCGCCCATCCAGTAACAATCCCTGACAGCAGGCGCGGCGCAGACACCTGTACCTGATGAACAGGAAGCGGGAGAGGGAGTCACGCGGATCAGAGCAAGGAATTCCTTGACTGCGCAGGCGCCGGAGCCCAGGCGATCTCCGCCCGGGCCTTGCCCACAAGCCACCGCCCGCTCCACTGTCTACGCCCGTGACGTCCACCGAACGGGGCGGGGCCGGGGGCGGGGTGGGCTCGCTCAGTTGAATGGGCGCCCCGCTGAGCCGCACATTCCAGCGGGGCCACGTGATACGACCGCGCCGCCTGAGGTAAACAACCGCGGCCCCGCCTCCTGGCCCCACCGCGAGGTCTGTACTGCTCTACGGGACACGTTCCAGCGGGCGGGCGGCTTCCTCCGAGAGTCCCCAGCGGCGCTGCGGGCTTCAGCAGCGGCAGTGGGCGCGGCGCCCGGAGTCTGCGGGCCGAACGCACCGGTAGGGGTCGAGCGCGCGTTCCTTCCCCGCCCCCACGGCACGCTGTGGCGTAGCAGGAATTTGGCGGGGACCCGGGCGCTATTTGCGGCTTTTCACGCACTAGCTGCCGGCGGCCCTTGGGTCATTTCTATTCTAGGGGCACTGGGTCATCGCGCTCGACTGGCCCCCTCCCGCGGACCCGGAGGGTGTGTCTCCCTCGCCGGGGCTCGCCGGGCCTATAAGGGACCGAGCGGCGGGCAGGGACATGCAGCTCTACAGCAGCGTCTGCACCCACTACCCAGCCGGGGGACCGGGTCCTACGGCCGCTGGTCCGGCTCCTCCGCCTTCCGCCGCCCCTTTCAAGGTTTCTGTGCAGCCTCCGGCAGCGGCTAGCGGCGCGCCGGAGCCCGAGACGGGTGAGTGCCAGCCCACCGCGGCCGCCGAGCCCCGAGAAGCCCCCGCCGCCTCCGCCACCAAGATGCCCGCCTTCTCCTCCTGCTTCGAGATGGTGCCCGGGGCTGCCGCGCCCTCCTCCGCAGCTGCACCCGGCTCGTCCAGTGGGTCCTGCAAACCACCGCTGCCGCCCCACTACACGTCCACGGCTCAGATCACCGTGCGGGCCCTGGGCACCGACCGGCTCTTGCTGCACGGGCCTGAGCCCGGCTCCGCGGCTCCCGCCGCCCAGCGCAGCCGCTGCCTCCTGCTGGCCCCCGCGCCAGGTGCCCCGGTCCCACCGCGGCGGGGCTCCTCGGCCTGGCTCCTGGAGGAGCTGCTGAGGCCCGACTGCCCTGAGCCCGCGGCCCTGGACGCCTCCCGGGAGGGCCCCGACCGAAACTTCCGTCTGAGCGAACACCGCCAGGCCCTGGCCGCCACCAAGCACCGGGGTACCGCGCCGCCTCCGGGGAGCCCGGAACCCAGCCCCGGCCCTTGGGGCGAGGAGCACCCGGCAGAGAAGAGCCTCCGGGGTTGGGAGAGGGCTGGCAACCGCAGCGACTCCCCGAGCGCGGACGAAGCGCGGCGGCCTGGCCCGGAGGCTGAGGCACCCACGGTCCGAAGCAGCGAGGCCTCCCAGAGCGGCGCCGCCGAGGCAGCTATCGTCTCCAGGTCGGATGCCAGAGACGAGAAACTGGCCCTGTACCTGGCGGAGGTGGAGAGGCAGGATAAGTACCTTCGACAAAAAAATAAGTACCGATTTCACATCATTCCGGATGGCAACTGCCTATACCGTGCGGTCAGCAAGGCGGTGTACGGCGACCAGAGCCTGCACCAGGAGCTGAGGGAACAGACGGTACACTACATCGCCGATCATCTCGACCACTTTAGCCCCCTGATTGAGGGCGACGTTGGGGAGTTTATCATCGCTGCAGCTCAGGATGGGGCGTGGGCCGGGTACCCGGAGTTGCTGGCCATGGGGCAAATGCTGAATGTGAATATACACTTAACAACTGGAGGGAGGTTGGAGAGTCCCACAGTGTCGACGATGATTCACTACTTGGGTCCAGAGGATTCTCTAAGGCCTAGTATTTGGCTCAGTTGGCTCAGTAATGGACATTATGATGCGGTATTTGATCACTCCTATCCTAACCCTGAATATGACAATTGGTGCAAACAGACTCAAGTGCAAAGAAAACGCGATGAAGAACTTGCCAAATCCATGGCCATATCCCTCTCCAAAATGTATATTGAACAAAATGCATGCTCTTGAAGTGTCTGAAAACCTACACCTTGGGAAAAGTGCATACATCATTTGTGTTTAGGGAATTATATGAACTCTAATCAGGGTAATAGCACTTTTAAACTTTTTAAATTACTGTAGGTGTAATGCCTTAACCTTTTTTATTTTCAATGTTTTCTCAGAGCTGAAGGTTGCTGGGCACCTCAATGATGTTTCATGATAGCCTTGGATGATCCTACTGCAGTTTATGATTTGCTGTATAAAGTTAGCACTACTTAATTTGCAAGCTAATTTCTCACAGTGTATATTTGTTCATTCCTGTTAATCTATTTTCTATAAAAATGTATTTTTGCACATTTTAAAATCGGCGTAACTTCATCCACAATGTGTTCCATTTTGACAGCTTTTCAGCATAAACCCAGAGAAGTGCTTTATGTGAAGCTTATTTTGAACAGCTTGTGATTTAGTGGTTATTTTATGTTGAATTTGAATTTTACAATTCTTAGGTATTATTTCAAATGGAGATTGATATATTCATGTTATCAGATGATTGGCCCATTCCATTTTGATGAAAGATTTGCTTTACAAATCATTATTTTTCTAGACATGGTCATCCTTTGAAAGAGTAATAATGTAAGGGAAGATTGTGGGGAGATTTTTTTTCCTTTAAGGGGCAGTGCCAGCTCTTACTTGAATGAAAGTCTGATATTTGCTGATGGAAGAGTGATTTTTCTGTATTCTGATTGATGTTTAGAGTAGATTGGTGCTCTCAATTGTTTTTATTTATATTTGTCATTTTGTTATAAAAGAATTTTAACATGATTGTAAAACTTTGTGATAAGCCTCCTGCTTTCTGTAACTTGGATTCAACTGAGATTTGAAAACCAATAGAATGGATGCCTCCAACCAACATTTGCAATTTTCATAGCAGGAAAATGTCCTAATATTCTGTTCTTTAAAAATTTTTTTAAAAAGCAAGATAGGATTGCCCTGTGTTGTGTACAAACAAAAATGTCCAAATGGCTTGTATGGTTTGCTGGGTCAAACGGTGTTCCCAACCTAAATTCTTATCTTATTTCCACTTAACAACTTTGAGTCATATTTATTAAGTAACGAAGTTTGTACATTTTTATTTTGTAACATTTTGTGGGTTTTTTTGTACAATACTGTATTTGTACCATAGAGCAATTCTCAGTGATGGAGTGACTGAATAAAAGGCATAGTTTTACTTATTTGGCTAAAATGGTTTTTAAATTATAGAGTGCTATCTGTAGGAACTTTTTGCATCTACACTTTTTTTTTAATATGTAAAGGTGTTACAGATAAGAGGTTTTCTTAAGTTCTCACATGAACAGGATAGGATCATCATTAGTAATTTCAAAGAATAAGATAATTTAAAGGTGGAGTAAAAAAAAAGTAAAAAATAAAAAAAATAAAGGTGGAGTAACTCAAGAAATTGCTGTCATTTCTAATTATAATTCCTATCTAATATACCTATTGACTAATGAACAGTGAAGTGCAAGTATTATTAACCAGCACAATGTTTAATTATCATGGTCCATTGAGTCAACACAGGTTTTAATGTTTTAAAGAATAACTAAAGCACTGCCCTAATCTTTATTTAGTTTAGCCTTTTGACCATGGGAATGATCCTCAAAATTTTATAATTTTTTAAATAAATTTTAAGATAATCAGTTTTGGTTGAGAAATGCACCTGTATTCATAATCCTGGGTATGTTATTCATTACAGAATAAAAAAATTTGGATTTGTCTCAGGTGTTTAGATGCCATGGTTATAGACACAATTGAAGAGACCTTAAGTTTTGCTTAACTGCATTTTTGGAAGGATGCCATTGATCGTCAAGGAAAGTTAACTTGTCAAAGGTTTAAATGTTTATTCATCTCTGGTGTTTTAGGGAAGATAAAATTTACTTCATGGCTTCACTAATTATATAACTTGGTAAGAAAGAAATTATTTTAAATGAATCACCTGGCTAATATGGTCCTTGCACTTTTCTCTACTTTAGAGTTGTATAAAATTTGGTAATGCTTAAAATATGCACAAAAAAACAATAGACTAATTAGGTATAAGTTTCTAAAGAGAAATTTTATAAATTTCTCTAAAGAGAATTTTATAAATTCATCAGTGTTTTAAATAGGTTCTTTATGTTCTTTTTTATTTTTGAAATAGGATCCTAAGTCAATTTAGATTCTCTTAAGGTGATGCTTTTGAACACAAAATTAAATGGGTCCCAAGGTTGTATTATAAGGCTGCATATTTTTCTAGTTGTCTTGCCTAAAAGGTTTGTGTTTTTCCCATCCTCTTTCTATGGCTTAGATTTTTGTTTTTTAAATCCTCGCTCGTGGACATTTTTCATTGCTTTTTTAGCAGGGGTGGGAGAGAGGGAAACAGGTGCTGGAGAGCCATTGGTTGCCTCCTGTGTTCCTGGACTTGGGATAGGACTGCAACCTAGATATGTGACATGACTGGGAATCAAACGCAGCCTTCTGGTTATGGGGTTGATGCACCAACCAACTGAGCCACATGGGCCAGGGTCGCAGCTTAATTTTTTTGAAGGACTTAAAAGTTTTTTGAAGAAAAGTATGATTATCCCTTTATACTTAACTGTATTTTGCTGTGTATAATGCACACCCATGTTTTTGCCCAAACTTTCAGGAAAATGAAGCTTTCGTTTTAATTTTTAATTTAATTATTTACTTATATTTAGATACTTGTTTTCTGTATTACAAAGGAATTTTAGCATTTTTTTTAACATATAGTACAAAAAGTCTTGTGTAACAAATAACTACAAAACTAATAGATACAAGATATTTCAGCTACTATCAATATATAATGCACATACTTATATTTCCCTGCAAAAATTTGGGCAGAAAGGTATGCATTATACATGGCAAGATATGGTAATTATTTTAAAAGCCTTACCTGAGAATATATGTTGATTTTTGAGAAGGAGGGAGTGAGAGAGAAACATCGATTGATTGCCTCTGGTAAACTCACTCACTTATCAGGGATTAAACCTTCAACCTAGGTATGTGCCCTGACTGGGACAGAATTTGCAATCTAGTGTATCATATGATGCTCTAACCAAATTATCGACCTTGGCCAGGGCCCTTTATACTTAATATTTATTCTCTACTGCTATACCAGATTTATATGTTAGCAGAAACAGTCTTGGGTCACTGAAGACTTGAGCAGTCAAAGGTGGAAATGTGGTTAATTCTTATTTACTTTAGCAAACATTTAACAGTTCATTCTTTTAGCTTCTCCTATAGAGCAGCCAAGAGGATCAGAACTGAAGGAAATAGTTGATGCTGTGAGCGAGTTTCTTTAGAGTTTACTGTCCCATAAATATTAAGGAGAATAAAATCTATACATTCCAACTGTTGTATTTTCAGATAAATTAGTATGAAAACCGTATTAAACTTGAAAATTTTATTAAAGTGGTACATAGATTAAAAACTATGATAAAAATAACAGGGTGATTTTTTAAAAATTACTGTTCACTTAAAAACAAATGGTATAGTACTTGGAACGTTTTGGCAAAAACCTAATTTTTTGAACCTTTTATTCATTTTCTCAGATTCTCTTAACATAAAATATATTCATTTTAGAATATTTAAGTGGACTGAGAAGTAAACCACTGATAAGTGGATATATACAGGTGATACTTTACATTTTTCTATACTTGTGGTTCATATGCTTGGTATGGCAAAAATTTTATTAGGCGCAAAGCATTTTATCAGAAAACATTTTATAGAGGAGAGGAAATGCCTTAGGAGCTCTTGAACATCAGAATTAACCTCAGCTTGGGTAAATAATTCTGTTGCAATGTTTTCTTCATAATTTTTGTATTAAAAAAAGGATCTTGAGATAATCACATGACATTATGTGTTTTTCTTCTTCTAAAAGATGAGAAAAGTAAACCCTGAAATTTTATCTTGGTGCTCATATGTAGAAAAAGCATTAGAGAAGAAAAACAGACTTTAAACTTTTGGACATAAGATCATTTGATAGGTAGGTAAATGTACTGAATAAAGATTATGTATCTGCTTCAAATGTATATGATGGTTATTTGTCACATGAAATAAGTCCAGACCTTATTTTTTTGGACATCCCTTGAGTGTCTATAACTATCTCAAAGAGGCTTAATTAATTGGTTAGTTGGTGGAAACAGTATCAACTAACTTAGGAACATAATTAGAATGCCAACAGGTAATTCTATTACAGAAACTAGATGGTATTTAATTGTTTCACTTGAAATAAATTAAACTCAGGCATAGACTGTTAACATTCCCTGCTGACTCCCTGGGTTCCAAACTAGTACCTAGCAGAGAGATGTTCAGTAAAGGAATAAATTGAAGGAAAATATGAGCTTTGGAAAACAGTTGGTGAATGTGAAATTAAGTAAAAGTGATTTGACTATAAAATTACTGGGAATTGTAACTGATGGAAATTTGGAACATTTAAAACTGAAATAGTGTTATTAAAAGACATTAAAGTATTGAATTCTATAATGGAAAACTAGATCTTGAAACTGAAAATTAGGCTTTGATATTGATATTTGTGTCATCTTCCAAACATCTTAAGAACTGAACCAAGAAAAATTATTTAAAAATAATAATTCCATTAATCAGAAGTGATTTTGAAGGTGTTGCCTTATACAAAGGGACTTGCTCTGACTTGCTTTTGGGGTTACACCCATCCCAAGTACATTGTACTAGTTTAGCTATGTAATCTTTCTATAACCTGGTTGGGAAGAAAATGTTGGGTAGACTTTAAGCATGTTTTAGGGCTGTTGTGTTTAATAGTACTGACTGCATGTTTACACAGTTGATCAATGCACTTGGGCAAGTAGCATGAGTCAGATCAAAGCACCCATTGGAGAAAAAATCAGTGTATTTCCTCATACTGTAAATTAGGTCTGATAATAATTCTATGAGTAAAGGGCAGAAAGATAGTTCACTATTACCAGATTACTTCTAGTAATACCTCATCTAGCCTGGTTTCTCACAAGTGAGTTTCTAAATAAGCAGTCAATTTATGTGTCTGTAAAACAAAGAAACTGCTTTTGATAAAGTAATTTAAGAAGCGATCTATGGTAGACTTACTTGCTTTTATAAAATAACTGAATATAATTGAATGTACCTTTAATGACTTAGGGCTTTCCTGACAACATGGGTGTAAGGCCTTGAAGCCTTAGCCGGTTGCCAAGGTGTGACAGTCCCTTTGTACCTGAGAATATCTCAGAATTGTAGGACTTTTATCTGGGTATTTTATTTCCTCCTTCTCTCCCTCCTTTCCTTTCTTTACATTCATTAAAGCCAGGGGCAGGAGAGAGGCTAGGTTTTGCTCTGCTTTGGCCCCTTAGAAATATTACAGGAAAAAAGCGAGCCATGATGGGCCTGTTGTTAGCTCACTGAAAAGGCAGAGAAGAGGGGACCTTGAAGACAGGATCATGGGTAAGCCCAGGATGAACAGCCACTGCTGGTTGCTCTCCTGGTTGCAAGTCTCCTGGCGTTCCTTACACTAGGAGAGAAAGTAAAGGTGCACGCCTGAGAGGAAAGTGAGCTTTAGGCAAGCTCCACAGAGAGGGCGCCAGTGTTTTGTGCTTTCCTGTCTCCCTCACATTCTGATTTCCTTCTTATCATTGTCGCTTCCCATTCCTGATTTTCATTATGAATTCCTATGTTGACTTAGAGACACCAACAAACATGCTTCTCAGAATTTATTCTAAAATAATAGGAATGGGTTTCTAGGATGGTCTGCTATGAATAACGTGCTTCAGCTTTAGTTTTTGGTCACCTTGAGAGCTTTTTTGCCTTCTTTGTCCCCCCCCCCCTTTTTTTGCACCCAGGAAATGCTGAATTTGTCTGATTAAAGGACCTCTGAATGTGTATATTGTCATATTAAAATAAAACAATGAAAATTGGAGTTGATTTGTCATTGTCTAGTTAATGTTTTGCTTTCTCTCTGCCATGTGTAATCCTTTATAGTGTATATGTGCCTGCTATTGTCTTCTTTTTGCTTATATGTTTCTCGTGTTGAATTTCCTGGTCCACAAAGATGTGCTAATTATGAGATAATTAAAATATTGGGTTTTCATTGAAGACTCTAAATTTCAGTGCATATAGACAGGTCCAGTACAAATATGACTAGTGTTTTGAATTTGTTCTTCCTAATACTTATTTAATGAATGTGTATTATGTCTAC